TCATGAGATAGATTAGTGCTCCCACTGCAGCACGGTATTCCAAAGCATCTGTTTCATTTAGACTTTCTGCATTAGTTGCCTCAACAAGTGGGTGCTTGGGATCAAGTGGAGTTGCAACAGGATTCGTGGGTGCGTTGAAGCGCTCGAGAATTCGCTGTATATATGCCTTCTGATGCAATATCACTTTGCCATTCCGATGTTCAATATGGATGCCTAAGAAGCGCCTAGGTGTTCCTATATCTCGAGTTTTAAATTCATTGCAGCATTCTTTGACGAATTCCTCAATTGCGTCCTGGTCACCAGTTAGCAGGATGTCATCAACAAATAGGAGGAGTATGAGGAATTTGTTATCCAGGCTGCGAATGAATATAGCTAGCTCAGCATCGCACTGATAGAAGCCTGCTTTCAATAGGAATGAGGTCATCCTATCCCACTAGATGCGCGGAGCTTGTTTAAGTCCATACAGAGACCGGCGCAGTTTCAAAACATATTTCTTTGGATCTAAATCTATGCCTTCTGGTATCCCCATATAGACTTCAGAGTCTATATTGCCATTTAGAAAAGCGGTGATAATATCAAGATTGCGTAAGGACCAGCCATTGTGCACAGCTATTGCCACCAGGAGTCGGAATGCAGCTAATGAGGCAGTTGGGGCATAAGTTTCCATGAAGTCTACTCCAAAGCGTTGGAGGAATCCCTTAATCACCAATCGTGCCTTATAGCGAATGCCTTCATCAGGACTCGGTTTACGCTTGAATACCCACTTGCCGGGGATCGGCTTACACCCTTTTGGCATCTGACTGATCTCTTGAACTATCCAAGTTCCATTCTCTTCATGAGATTTCAGTTCTTCTTGCACTACTGGTGGCCACCTAATCGGATCCTGGAGCAAGGCATCCGAATAGGAGAGAGGATCTCCATTGTGGTCTGTTTGGATCCTCTCTGCTGTTTGCCAGGGTGGGCAGGAGAGCGACTCCATGCCTTGCACGATCAAAGCGGCTTCCACAAGCTCCCTTGTAGTATCGTGCTCATGGATTTTGACGTAGGTGCCAAATACAACGCTTCCTCGTGGGTTGTAGATGGGCTGGCTGTCCATTCGGAGTGCCAGGGACTGGGGGGAGTCCAATGCCCTTTGGGCTACATCTGCTAGTTCCATAGGATCTACTGGCTTTGCAGGATCTTCTGGGTTCACAGGATCTGCAGGTGGTTGGGATTGCTGCAGCCAGAAGGGGTTCATCGAGGAAAATGGTACGCTTGATACATTGGGAAGCGCTCCCGGTACTGACTGACCAAGTACAGTATCAACTGCTGAACCAGGCGGATTTCTTTTATGTGCAATAGACAGTTTAAAACCGGCAGGGCGTTTGAGCCATGGACCAGGGAAAAGGTCTTCATCAAACTTGATTTCAGAATGATTGCTTGTTTGCAGAGTATGAAGATCAAGACATTTATAAATAGACTTTGAGTCTTGTATATAGCCTACCATCATGGCTGGCCTGCAGCGAGGATCAGAGCTCGAGCTGCGGTGCTCCTTTCGAAGGTGTATCCAGACGAGGCATCCCCAGGGCTTCAAGGTAGTAAGAGGTGGTTGCTTCTTATATAAAAGAAGGTGTGGGGATATATTGTCTAGAGTAGTGGATGGCAGGATGTTAGTTAGAAATACCGAGGTGGCCAGGGACTCAGCTTGTAGTCGGTAGTCATCTAGGACACCAGCACCAGCTCTCATAGAGCGTTCTATATTCTTGATCGTCTGAACTCGTCGTTCCAGTACATCATTCTGTTGCTTGACACCAGATGTAGAGACTTGGTGAAGTATTCCGTATTGGCGATTTATTTCTTTGACCATGCTATTTATGAATTCACCGGTACCGCCATCAGTTCGCCATGACTTGATTACAGCATTGAATTGAGTTAGGACCAAGTTTATGAATCCTTGTAGGAGAGGCGTAATTGCAGGAACATTCTTGCTTGAGGCAAAGTAACACCATGCATAGCGAGTGTAATCATCGACCAGTAGTAACATATACTTAGATCCACCAAGGGAGATACCGTCCAAGGGGATAAGGTTGGCATGCACGCGGTCGAATGACTTGCTGCAACGTTCAAGCACAGGAGGGTGCGAATCTGCCTTCATTTTACCTTGTAGGCATGCTGTGCATGTAGGTAGTTGACGTGGCACAGATAAGTTCATGAGATCTCCCACTGATCGAAAATTTCGGTGGCCTAGGCGATTATGCCATAGCCTGAGTGTACTGAATTCTCTTGTACGGAGAGCTCGTGGGGCATTCACTAGAGATGAGGGACTTATATGCATTCGATAAAGATCTCCATGCTTCGAATTGGCTAGTTGAAACCATGCGGAATTTGAGTCGCCTTGCTGCCGTATGTAGACAATGCCATTTTCAATAAGAGTAGAGTAGCCAGCTCGATCAAGGAGCTGCAAGGACAGCAGGTTCTCTGCCAATTTTGGTACGAACCAGACGTTGAGGACTAGAATATAAGGCCCAACTTGAAGATGTTGAGTACCAGATCCCTCTGCATAGATCGTAGTATTATCTCCAAGGTAGATCTCTCTGGGTTCAAGGAAATGTTTGTAGTCCTTAAGGTCCAATTTGCTATTGCAGAAATGCTGTGTAGCTCCAGAGTCCAGTATCCAGCTGAGATAGTCTTGTTGTCGGATCTCACTATTGATGTAGGATGCTCTTGTAAGAAGAAGATGAGATGGATAACTGTAAGCGTTTGACTCAGAGCTTTGAGACTGGGAGGAGGAGAAATTTGCCTGCGGAGGTGGAGGAGCCAGTAGAGGTAGCGGCTGAGGCGGAGGTTGCAAACTGCTTGGCTGTTGAACTAAGTAGGCACGACCTCTGTCAAGCTTTGCAGCGCCAGAGTCTAGTTGCTGTTGTCGAATATGACAGTCACGCTCGTAATGGCCCTCTCGTTTGCACCAGTTACAGATAAGTCGCTTATTCCGAGAATTTCGATTTGATCGTTCACGACGGTTTGAATTTGAGTTATTGCCTCCATTACGGAGGTTCCGAGAGCTTGTTCTGCGGTTCGGACGACGGCCTCGAGTTACTAGGGCTTGGCCAGACGTGTTGTCTCCTTCAGAAGAGGAATCTTTGATATTGGCAAGCAGGTAGGTCACTGTTTCAATGAAGGGAAGGTTCAATTGTTTTGCCGTTTGACCTTCGGTCTTGTAACAGTCAGGGAGTCGATCCACGAGGATGTGAACGGCTATATCTCGATGGATTTTGTAAGAGGTGTTTTCCAAGGAAAGAAAGATATTGCGGAAACGACTTGTGTAGGTAGAAATGGTATCCTTTGGCTCCCACTTGTTGTTGTGGAATGATTCGTATTGAGCAATTAATGGGAGAGTTGTCCCGCGGTCGCAGCCAGCCTTGAGTGAGGACCAGAGGTCTCTTGGGTTTGTATGGCCAACTAGGAGCTTGCGACATT